TTGGGTCACAACATGAGGAACTGTATTTAAAGGGCCAGAAGGTTGAGAACCACTGCTCTTGAGGCTGGCTCTTCCCAAGGCAATGACTGCATGACACCCATTACTGAGCACAATATGGGCAAACCTCCCTGGTGTATGGGTCCTGGAGAACAGGTAGAAACCTCTCCTGGCCATGGTTTCTCTTCTGCAAACCCACTTGGTGAAGGTGACTTGGTTTTCAATAGAAATCAAAAGGATAGGTTGGTTATATGTTTGCCTCTAGAATGAAGAAGGATGGAGGAGGACAGTGTGGGAGAAGAATATGAAAATGATTGACCTGCACAACCAAGAATACAACCTAGGGAGACAGAGCTTCACCTTGGCAATGAATGCTTTTGGTGACATGGTGAGTGTGGCTTGGGAGGCTTACCTTGGGCTTCCTCTCCTCACTCAGTACTATGCCGAAATATCCCATGCTTGACAACATTCTACTTCTTTTTCCTTGAAGACCAATGAAGAATTCACACAGGTGATGAATGGCCATCAAAACCAGAAGTGCAAGAAAAGGAGAGTGTTCCGGGAACCTTACGTTGCTGAAATCCCCACAACGGTGGATTGGCGAAAAGAAGGCTATGTAACTCCCGTGAAGAACCAGGTATGACAGTACTCAGCAGGTCTCTCTCCAAGAGTTAAAGCCACAAAGGAGTTGGCGTCATGGCTGTGGTAGACTGTGGGACAATGTGTGTTTCACTAATTTTTAAGAGTTTACACATTGTTGGCAAAGCTGTCAAAATCTTGCTATTTGTTCTGTAGACTGAAAGCTTCTATATTGTTTTCAGGGTCACTGTGGTTCTTGTTGGGCATTTAGTGCAACTGGTGCCCTTGAGGGACAGATGTTCCGGAAAACTGGCAAACTTATCTCCCTGAGTGAGCAGAACCTTGTGGACTGCTCTCAGGCTCAAGGCAATGAGGGCTGCAATGGTGGCCTAATGGATAATGCTTTCCAGTATGTGAAGTCCAACGGGGGCCTGGACTCAGAGGAGTCCTATCCATATCAAGCAAAGGTAAGCAAAGCTCTTACCTTTATGTCATTCTTTTTGAAAGTTGAACACCTTAGAGAAAACAGATGCCATATTTAGAATTCATATTTAAAAAAATTTATTTTAGAATTCATATTTTAGATTACAGAGTATATATATGTAAACCATCAGAACTTTCATCAAAATATATCAGCCTTGAACAGTTCTGTTTGGGATGTTCACAGTTCTTATTTCTGTGTTACATGGAGACATACATACCATTCTATATATAGCACACTTTTCTTCAGAGTAAAACACTTCTTATGGAGAGATAGACCCACAGTGTCTCAATGAATAGACACCAGCTAGTTTTTCATTTTCAAAACAGCCAATAGCATTTCACAGACGTAACCTGGAAATCATGAAGCTGCCTCCTGCCTGAAACTCATGCTTCCAGGGAGGTGGGTTAGTAATGAGATCTCTTCCCCTTTACCTTTAAAGGTTGGACCCTGCAGATACAGGCCCGAGGACTCTGTTGCCAATGACACCGGCTTCGTGGACGTTCCTGGGCAGGAGAGTGCCCTCATGAAGGCAGTGGCAACTGTGGGGCCCATCTCGGTGGCTATAGATGCAAGCCATTTTAGCTTCCAGTTCTATGAAGATGGTAAGCATTGTCTATGTAGAAATTTAGGCAGAAGAACTGGAAAACCACCGTGACCTAAAGCAAGATTCACTCTTTGGTTTGCATACTTTCTGGGTGTGTGGATTTATCATTGTTCATTGTGCACACACAACATCTTTCCCTGGTGCTTCCATTTGACATTACTTGAGCTATATCCTCATGTTTTTAAGCACTTTGTAAATATATTTAAATGGCTACATAATTTGATTGGTATAGCTTAATATACTTCACCTTTTTCCAGTTGTTAAGCTTTTAAAATTTTCCAAAGAATTTTACTGTTGTAATGAAAACTATAGAGGTCCTTTGACTCAAGTAATTTTGTGTTCTGTGCTATTTCCTAAGACTGACATCCTAAAAGTAGAATGACAAGGCTTCCAGAAGTGTCTTTATGCCTCCTGACTGACCCATTGTTTACAAAAGACATTGTGCTAATTCAGATTTCTGCTAGTATTAGATGGGGGCCTGAGTCCCTAGCCTAGATTTAAAAAAAAAAGATCTTGTTTTTAAATCGTACTTGGTTTTGTCACTTAGCTGAATTTTGAGATGCCTTCCGTACTGTAGTTGATCTGTGGGGTTACTGTCACCTGCACTTGGAGGTCCTCATCCCAATATCGAGTGTTACTTTCCCAGGCATTTATTATGAGCGGCGCTGCAGCAGCGTGGATCTAGATCATGGCGTTCTGGTGGTTGGCTATGGCTTTGAAGGAGAAGATTCAAGTAACAATAAATATTGGATTGTCAAGAACAGGTAGAAACTGCTAAAAATACTTACATTTGAAAAGGGAGACATTTTTAGAATCAGTATTTGGATACAGGTCTTCAAACTCTTCAGCATACTTCTGAAATTCCAGAAGTCTTTTTTTTTTTTTTCTATAGCCCTGTTTATTTTATTTTTTTGTTAATCCTCACTGGAGGAAACAACCAAGTATTGCTAGAATCTGGGCATTTTTCTCTAAAATTCAGCCTCCAGTAAGACAACATACTTCTCAGGCTTATAATAAAAGTTAACATTTCTAATATATATATTTTCCTTTTTTTTTTTTTTTGGTTAATCCTCACTTGAGGATATTTTTTCCATGGATTTTTTAGAGAGAGTGAAAAGGGGAGAGTGAGAGGGAGAGAGAGAGAAATATTGATATGTGAGAGACACATTGATTGGTTGCCTCCCACACCTGCCTGCAACCGAGGTATGTGCCCTTGACCAGAATGGAACTCGTGGGCTGATGCTCTTAACCACTGAGCAAAATCGGCTAGGGCCGTAATTTAATGTTATGATCACACATTCGCATGCCTGTGTGTTCCTTAAGTGGGATGAAGACTTCTGCTGAAATTCCAGAAGTCTTTATCCCACTTAAGGAACACAACATATGGATGTGTGATTATAACGTGAAGATTCTCCCTCAGCTCAGAGAATCGATATAGTTTTTGTGCCATTACATTTCTAAATTTGAAAATTTTCTTAATTCTGAAACACATCTGGCCCCAAGAGTTCCTTTTTCTCTCTAATTTTGCAGTTCTGGGAAAGGTTTGGGGAGAGAAGTTCTGTGCAGGCTTAGAGCTCAGCCAAGAACTAGAACCGCCTCTCCTGATTCTTCCTGAATCTGTTTGGGCCTCTCTGGTGCACTGTTTCAGTAGCAGGTGTAGTTGTTAATAAAAGTAAATGTGTTGATTATTTGTATAAAATGGAAAACCCTCTCTTCTTTCAGCTGGGGTGAAACTTGGGGCAAGAATGGCTACATAAAGATGGCCAAGGACCGGGACAACCACTGTGGAATCGCCACCGCGGCCAGCTATCCTACTGTGTGAGATGATGGTGATAAGGAAAGACTTGATGGAGAGCAGGATATCCAGAGGAGGAATTCTTATCTTAAAACTGACCACATTTCACTTAATGGAATACAACACTTGAATCTTGAAGCTCCAAACTGTGATTTGCATTCTGTGAAGTTTTATATTGGTTAAAATGTTACCACTTCCTTTAGAAGGATGTATAAATTTTTACTTTTTAAAATAAAACTTAATTTTTATTATTTTTAGTCCTTGCCCAAGGATATATTTATTGATTTTAGAGAGAGAGGAAGGGGTAGAGAGAGAAAGAAACATCAGTGTGGGAGAGAAACATGGGTCAGTTACCTCTGGTACGTGCTGCGTCTGGGGATTGAACCTGAAACCTTTTGGTGTACTGGACAATGCTCCACCAGTTGAGCCGCTAAAACTTAATTTTATATGTAGAGATGGGGTTCTTTCCGTTCTTAATACATTTACTTGCAAAAGACAAAAATGTAATTGGGCCCTAAAGACAACTGAATGTGCCAGTGGTCCATTAGGACAATGGCTGGGTGGCCTGCTGGGTCCTCTAGTTATCAATACTAAATATGCAGATCTTATGTCAGTTGTCTATTGCCTGTGTCTGACCCAACCCTTGAATGGAGCAAAATTTGACAAACTGTATGTAAGGACAAAGGTCAATTTTGTGTTTTCTGTTAATCCATCTGAGGATATTTTTCTGCTTGATTTTTAGAGAGTGGAGGGGTGGGAGGGAAGGAGAGAGAAAAACATCAATGTGAGAGAAATGGATTGGTTGCCTCCCGTGCATGCCCGTTGGGGGCCAAGATCAACCTGCAACCCAAGTATGTGCACCTGACTGGGAATTGAACCCATGACCCTCCATTCCTCGGGGAGATGCTCTAACCACTTAGACATAACAGCCAGGGCAAGGGCAATTATTTTAATAAGGAAAAAATTCACATTTTAGAAAAGTTGAGCACACACATGTAGGATTGCTAGATTAAAAGGGGGCCTTAGAAATCATTATTTGACCCAAGATAATTATAACCCAGCTGAGTTACAGGATGAATGTCACAGTTTTTGCTACATCTTCCCCACCTGCTAGTGAAGACCACCTGGCTACTTGCAGTCAAAGGAGGACTGGACCTGGTGGATTGCCAAGAGTGCTTGTCAGCTGGCAGTTCATGAAATGTCTGGCTTGTGAGTCATGCATAGTGCTTATTTATTTATTGTTTTGGCAGTATTGCAGATGTCCCCCATCTTACCCTTCTTTGCTCACCACCACCCAGCCCACACCTCCCCTCCCCTCCCCTGGCCTTCACCATTCTGTTGTCGACGTCCGTTGGCCAGGTCCCTACTCCCACCCCTTACCTCCGGTTCTGTTTTGTGTCAGTTAAATTTGTCCATTGGATTCCACATATAAGTGAGATAATATGGTATTTATCTTTTAATGATACTTAACTCTGTCGGAGTAAGAACATTGTCATGCACAATGTTTTCCATCTTCCACTGTCGTTTTGGCTCAGTTTGAGGATATGTATATATATTTAAGAAGGGTTGTACTTTCTCTAAAGCCATTAGTTTTCCAGATTTAGTGATGTTCAGCCCCTATGTATGAGCCTGGCTAGTGTTTCTAGCTCAAGGTCAGCTTCTCTGACAGCTCACGATGTTATTCTTGGAGCCAGGTCTCTCCTGCTGTGGTTAAGGTCACTGAACCATTGTTGCTGGGGTGGGGAGGGGATACTGCATGCATGCTTGCGTGTATGAGAGAGGAAGAGAGAACACAAAGAGATCTCTTTGGATCTATGATCTGGAATTTTTGTAAATCTCACTGGGTGTGAGGATTATGCCGAGGAGTCCGTGAGCTAAACTGAACCAGCCACACATCAAGTGGCCTATGGCGTCCCTCAAAGTGATTTTATCGCTGCTCAACCCTTGCTCTCAGAAGGAACAGCTCCATTCATCTTCCTTGGTGTCAATTTTCCACACCTGGGAGAATCTGGAAGTAGAATCTTGATAAAATTAAACTGAGGGTGACCAGATTACTAGTAAGTCTCCCGGGTGTAACCGTGCCCTTCAGCCGGTGCTTAGACTTGGGGCAACGGGGCAGGTCCTACAGGAGGCCGAGAGCTACAGGAGAGGGCAGGGAACAATTTGTTATGGGGTGGGGCCACAACATTAGTAACAAAGAAACAGAATTTCTGGAGGATGAGGCCCAGAAATCAGGATTTTAAAAAGATTCCCAGGTGATTCTAATGTGCAGCCAAGGTTGAGAACCACTGCCCTAAGCTCCCTCAGCTCCCTGAGGACCTGAGATGCACACAGGCCAGCAATCCAAGTCATTTGCATAGGAAAAGAGGCTCTGACTCCAACAAGGACAGGAAGAGATTACTAGCCAAGGAGCAGGGTGGGGTCTATGGATGGGAAGTTGCTGAGGAAACATCAGAACAAGGGGCTCTTGCTTTGGGTTCTTCTATGAGACAGTCAGCCAGGTGCGGCCCCTAAAGGAGCAGAGGGGAGGCTCAGGAGACAACAAAGTTTCTTCTTCTCACTAGTCCCAGAGAGACAGGGGCCAAGAGGAGGTCACAGGGCAGAGAAGACCCGGGGCAAGGGCCTTTATTGGGGGTCAGGGTGGGGTACACAAAACAGGCATCAGGATGTCACTGTTAGGGGGGCAGGAAGAGGAACTTGAGGCGGTGACCACCGTATCACACTGGCGGTCCTGGGCAGCTGGCCCATGCGGATGTTGAAGAAGCAGGGGAATAGGACGTTTTAAAGG